AACCCTCCAAGAATCGAAAGGCTCGGCCGAGACCCCCGCCTTACGATAGATACGCGCCTCTGAGACAACTGCTACCCCACTTTGCTATCCTCAATAACCCCGACCCGCCGAAAGCAGAGAAAGTCTCTGGACCTTCACAAAAGAAGTCCACCGCGGCTGGTAAGGCTCCCGCTTTCACGCCAGCATGTATGGCTTGGGTCGGTGGCTCGTTGGCGGGGTACGTAAATTCTCTCGGAAAGATTCTCTCGACACGCAGTTGCTTATATCAATCTTGGAAGATCGTTAAAAACCGGAGGCGTGGAAATACCCAGAGAAAAATGGGAGGAAGCAGACGTCCGCGAGGAAGTAGAAACAGAGGATGGGGCAGTCACGACCGTGCCATCCTCGCCAACCTCACAGGTCTACAATAAGGTCTTGCCTGATTGGACGAGGGGGCCTTTACCCATCGGCGCACCCGCTGCTAATGCCCACGTCCAAGCACAAGCTTGATTGCAGACCGAGATCTGCCTTGTCCGGGTATAGCAGCGAACGTTTCGATGAACCCAGTGTTGTCTTACAGCTTTGTACATTTGCTATGTTGTTTCCTTCGCTGCAGTACGTATAAGATTTCCTCACACCCCGCGCTAATCTCCACTTTATTGTCCCTCGACGGCGTTTTCTGAATTCGCCCTTGAAACCACGCTGAATCTCAAAAAATTCCGCCGATCAGATCCAGAAATCAGGAAACGCCACCGTATCTGGGTCCGGACGCTTTAACGGCCCGCTGCAAGCCCACCCATTGATATTCTGACCACCTGGGGACTCCACAGGTCAAGATTTCATTTTTACCTCTCGTCATAGAGTGACGTTCGTCGGGAATTGCCCCACCCTGGTTTTTGAGAGCTCGGCCGAGCGGCGGAAGCATTACCGTGAGCGGAAGGCCTGGGGGACGGTTACACGTATAGGTCACAGCGAATTCAATCGAGTATATGAACAGAGCAAGAGCTGCACGCGTGCAACATGAAACTCCCGTTGGTTTGGAAGCTCGATCGCACGTCTCCGGTCGAGCATTTTGAGTATATATCGTCCTTCAGCGCTGCTCTGATGATTTTTATTATTCTTAAGCGCATCTTCTGGTTCTTGATTTCTTCTTCAAAATGCCTGCATTGATGCTTAGCGATGGGAAGATTTCGAACAAATCTCCCCCGCTGTTGCCATGAGCGACCTCTATTTGAAGATCTGAGGACCCTTATCCCTAGGACAATGTCAGGACTATTTTGAGAGGTTTTCGGTACCGTAAGGCCTGCCGCTGGCGGTCTCTTAACCCGCCAGCCTGATTGTCTTGGGGCAAGAAACATCCTTCACGACTCTGGTGTAGGCGGTAGAGGTAACTTACCGAACTTGAGATGCGTCGATGCATGTGGGGGGCGCGAGCGCAATCCGCCAGTATTAAAAAAACATCCAATGGATTGGCGGATACCACACCCTCGTCCGTTCTGCATTGACCGTTTTTCGCGCCCTGTGATTGATCGAATTGGATCGGGGCTACCGTTCCATTCGCATCTCGTGCCAGAAAACCTAAAATTTGCCACAAGATGATGATCCACTGTTTGCGTTCGCTCTGACGCAGGCCAAGAGCGTTAACTGAAAAATAGAGATAAGGGCACTCTCGACAGTAATTAGATAGGCTCCCTCGTGAGTTCTATACCGTCCTTCAGATGCGAAGTCCCTCGTGGTTCATTCTAACTTGCCCTTGGGACGGACTGGCGACAAACACAGCGTATTGGAAATTTGCAGGTGATCACCGTCGGGGCCAATCCGTTCTGAAGTCAGTCCTCCAAACGCCGGCGTTTTTAAACGGTCTTGACTCTTGACACAGGGTGAGCGCAGGCGAAACGCATGCCAAAAATTCGAAATCCAAGGCACGCCATATATCACGTTTATACGCTGATGGTGCCCTGACGGAAGACGCCGAAGGTAACTATGCGGGCGGAGACTTATACCAATCTGAGTATACGGTGGCATCAGTAATCCGTCCTGTCAACTTGGCGAGTCGCGTAGGGTGTTTTGAATTGGGAAGTCGAAGGGAAGTCGGACGCTTAGACTCAAAATCAACTCAAAGCTGCTGACTCGTCGATCGCCTTCTTGCCGAACAACAGAGCTGGTTTGCTGATGTCAGTGTAGATCCGACACTCGCTCCTGTAGACCCACCAACCGTGTTATCGTGGCCAAGACAAGACGGCGCTGAGTGACTGTAACCCCAACTTCCGAACGGTTGTCTCAGTAGGGTGTGCGAGGTCCTGGATCGATCCTCACTTCACTGTGGCTTTGCTGAAACCACCCTCGCTAACGAATGTCTCCACGAGTCTAACTCACCGCGTGTCCATATCGGCGAAGTTATGGAAAGTGTGGTATTTTAAAATATATCAGTAAGCGCCAATCTGCACACAGAGGTTCGAAAGTTCTATCACACCCTCTCCGACGCGAGAGTCATGTCAGGGAACAACCCGCAGGCTCTGGCCCCGATAAACTTCGCTTCCTCCGAAGCGGGGAGTACGAGCATCTTGATATGGGCCGAGGCGGCTCGTCACCGAGACATTTCACGCACGGGGGAGCGTGCGTCCCGGAGCTCGTTCGGCTGAGGGGCGCGAATTCAGGCCCGGAGTTGTGGAGGTTCAACCTCATGTACGGGTAATAATCCACGTGCTACAAGCCTGCTTGGTCTCCGGTTGAGGTGGGATCCTGCGCAGGTTGTGGAAGCTTTCTATGCATTCAGATCGACGTTGGTTACTGAAGTCTCATCAAAGGTGTCAAAAGAAGTGGGCGTGATTACATTCTCGCTCAAAGCTGCTTACACGTCGAGTCAAGGCCTTACAGGCACGTTTATTCTAGAGCAACAACGAGAAGTAGAAAAGGAAGGCTACACGCGATGACCACGATCAGGGGTGTCTTTTTGCACATTTTTGTGGTGCGATCGGCGATGTTGCGGTCCCTAGCATGGAGGTGCGAACTGACCCACGAACCGAGGCTACTGGTGTACATAAAAGGCTGTATAGGGCCCCAGGGGAGTCCACCTGCATTTCGGCAGGGTGACCATGAGCAGTAGCCGCTGGTCCTTGTCTTATTCTCGCCCAAGAACTGGGACGAGCCTTTTGGGCATTATCTGGAAGAGTGAACTGGAACCGCCTGAGAAGGACGAACGCAAATGTCCATCCAATACATGCTATGGCGCCCCTAGAAAAGGTGGCACTTGAAAGGCAGAGTCAGCGGTGCTCAAGAGGCTAGATAGAGGTGGCATAAAGATTCCCATCTGCTCCAACGTGGTTCATGTTTCTCGGTTATTCCAAGCTATCTTTCTGGAAGCCATTCGTTGGCATCAGCACTCCACACCTATTTATTTCTGCGAGATCACACCAGAGCAGTTCCCACAGGAGCAGGAGAGGTGAAATGTGAAGCCTAAACAAGGAGAGTTCTGATATGTGCGAGCGGAGGTTGATCAGAGGGTTCGCCCTCTTCTAAATCGTGTCCTCCTTGCCTCTGAATTCGAGTCTGGATTCCGGCCTACGGAGGTTGGCTCGAGAGCCGATGGGAAGAGTGATGATAAATCATGTATGGCTAGTTCGGCCCTGTGGCCAGCCGCCACTGGGACAGTGGAAGTGGAACTGGGAGCTTGATCGAACTGTTCGGAATTCCCCGCAGGGGAAACTCAAGCCAGTTCTTTCTGCTGAGTCGCGAGCAACATAGAGTTGAAGGTCGGCGCGAGTACTCAGGCGCCTCTGGACAAAACTCGCAACGTTTCTCAGTACTTAATCCAGGAGTTCCGAGTTGGCACCATCGCTCAACACATCACATGTCCACCATGAAGGTCCCCAACCCTCTTCCAGCCTCCTTCTTCAGAGGCGGGACATCCAAGGGAGTTTACATCAATCGTACTCATCTCCCCGCCTCCAAGCTCCTCTGGGACCCGATTTTCCTTGGAATAATGGGCTCTCCAGACCCGATCCACGCTCGTCAGCTCAACGGAATGGGCGGAGGGGTTTCGAGCCTCTCAAAAGTGTGCGTCGTCGGTGCCCCCTCCCGGGAGCTGAGATCTCGGTTTCCAGGGCTCGACGTCGCCTACGCATTCGCCCAGGTCGGAATCCGGGATGGCATAGTCGACTACTCCGGAAATTGCGGGAATTTATCTACCATGATCGGGGTGTTCGCCATGGATGACGGGATCTGTCAACCCAACGATTCCTCCTTGACATGACGTTCCCCGTTCGTTGGAAGGACCAAACGAAATCTTGGATCCCCGTTTTGGATCTCGACCAAACTAGTTTGGCAGGGGTACCCGGGCGCGCTTCAAAAATCGTTCTTGACTTCATATCCCCCGGTGGTGCCGCGACCGGAAAGTTGCTTCCAACTGGCAACCCCGTGGACACTTTGCAAGTCGATTTTCCTCCCAGATCTGGTCTATCGATCCGCGCGTCTCTCGTTGACGCTACGAACCCCACCGTGTTCATTGCTTTCCAGGATCTTCTTGAGATTCTCGATGTACCTTCCAACACCGCCATCGATTACTCTGATACAGACGTCGTCAATATCACAGAGGCAATTCGCAAAGCCGGTGCAATCAGGATGGGATTAGACCCAAGCGTTCAAGGGCAACCTAAGATCGCCATCCTGTCCCCTCCCGGTACAGACGCCGACATCAACGTCCACGCGTTATCTATGGGGGTCCTCCACAGAGCGTGCCCCGCGACCCTTGCCCTTTGTCTTGGAGTCGCATCCAAAATCAGAGGTTCACTTGCGTGGGACCTCGTCCCTTCATCGAAAACTCGAGCCCCCGACTCGCTTGTAAACCTCAAACACCCAAGCGGGATTCTAAGCGTAGGAGCTAGCGTCGATGCAAACGGGGAGGTGTTGAGTGCGAGAGCTGTAGGGACAGGCAGAAGGTTAATGACTGGGTCTGTATGGTGGTGATGTAACGAAAAGTACTTGTGAGAAATCACAACGAGTCGCCGATACACAAAGCAAAATGTTTCGGCCCGGGGTCGAACCGGGGACCTTTCGCGATATCTTCATGTGAGGCGAAAATCATAACCACTAGACCACCGAAACGACATCCAAGGATGATTTACTGACCACAGAGTGTCCACGGACCAGTTGGAAACTGGGGCATCTCTCGATTATGGTTCTATGTATCTTCTAAAGTATTGTCTATGACTATCCACTATGAGAGCTTCGATGCTGCCGTATCATCCCTAGTACCCTTGACGAATGCCATCGCACTCATTCCGCCTGTTCCCTTAACTGCACCCTCTCCGGTCTGACCGAGACGTTCCCTAGCCCTTCTTGCAGGCCCAGTGATGTAAACGCCCACGATCCTGATGTGAGCTTCCCTGAACTCTTTCAAAGTCTCAATAGAGGCGTTGAACGCATTCAGTAGTCCCGGGTAGTCTCTGTTGGCTTCGACGAGGGCTTTGAGCGGACGAGGGTTGTTCTCGAGATGACGCAGAAAGTTGCGGTGGTGGCGGGGCATATACATCCTCATCCTCTTCAAAAACTGTACTGCGGTAGGGTTATCTCCGTGAGAAACCCCGAGGAAGATATCCAGAGCGGAGATGAGTGAGCTCTGGCCGGCTGACGAGCCAGAAAGCTCGGTTGGCTGGACAAGAGTGGGATCTTCTTCGATTCCCTCAAAGACCCACTTGATCGAGGCCGGGCCGGAGTCCTGGCCCTTAAGCCAGGGGCGAATCTGGTTGTAGAAGAGCTCGGGGTCGCATCCATGTCGAACGTCTGTGAGGAGCTTGGTTATGTCCTTGATTACAGTGGGCAGCCTCTGAAGGTAAGAAGTTATACGCCGCAAAGCGGTGTTATCGCCAACGAATGCTTCGTCCATGGTCTCTCGCATGATCTCGAGAACCTCGGTGCCGCGGAACTCGATACGAGCGGAGGCGAGGTAAAATTCTTCCTCATCGCGTGTTCCAGTGAATGTCGCCAAACACTTGAGGTTATCCAGAGCGGGTGTGGAGGCGGTGGAGGAAGCGGAAAGGGGGAACAAGAGGGCTTCAAAACTGCCTTGGTCCGAGGGGGGTGTCTGCGGGCGTAGAAGAGCCCAATTGTATAAGACATTATCGGAGTAGGTCATGATCGGGGGTAAAAGGAGCTGCTGACAGACACGCAGCAAGGGTATGGTGATCCCGCGGGGAATGATTGGTTGGATGTCTTCTGGCTGAGTGTAGATGTAGTAATGCATGACCCAAACGAGGACGTGGTGAGCGCGTCTCAACCTCACTTCCGAGGTTTTGAGGTCATCGGTAGATAAGACGGGAAGCTGGAGTAAAATGGAACGAGAATGATCAGCGATCGCAGTGTCATTTAATGGGAGCCATTCAAATCGCAGCGGAGATCCTACGCACCTTTTGCACAACTCGTCTCCAAGCCGCGGAATCAGCGCGGTCACTAACGGAAGTGGTAGGTCCGTTGTGAAGCTTCAAGCGCTTTGTCAGCGCAGAATCCAGGATCGCTTCCCAGGTCTCCCACTCACTCGGGAGGCGAGCAAGCGGCGGTTCCGGAGGCATGAAACCCGTTCTATTGTCGACATCGAAGTCATGGGCCGCGACGGTTGTGGTATCTGCGAGACCGCGGGGTAATGGCCCAAGCGTCACATCGGGTCGCGGAAGCGCAAGGAAATGCTGAGACTGTGAGAGCGGGTCGAAGTTGGGCATTCTCCCGGCCATGGACGGCCCCGGTGGAACTGGAAGGGCAGGAAAACTGGTTGGTGGGAAGGGATTCATGATGAGAGAATTTTAAGAGACGGAGTCATGCTTACGGATCTTTTGATCATATCTCACAGGCAGTTTTGTCAGCTCGGCTCGATTGACCAGGAATCCGAGCAGGCCTTGAGGCACAAGCCACCGCACCCGAGTTATTGGTCTCTCCTAGTCTCCCACGAGAAAACAGGTTTTCTAACCGCCTGTCACCGTAAGCATATGGGAAAGCAATCTGCTACATTATCGTTGCTTCAGGTGGTACAAGTCAATACAAGGTACACGAAAAATTATTACAGATGTACAAGAAGGCGAAGGTGGTGCTTTTAAATTCGGAGGATGCGGATAAAACGCACACAAAAGTGCGGACCATGTTTGTAGTCTAAAAGCGAAGACGAAAGCGAATATCGAAGATTATTGTGAACGTCCTTGCACCAAAGGGGAATTGTGATGTATGAGATGCGAGATGATAAATGCAGATGATGTGCAATTCGGGTTCCCAGCCCTCGAATGTTCTCTATAGGGATGGCGAGTGTGGATCATCCGTAAATAATTCTGAAAAGGGCGTCAACACAAACGCTCATTGCGGAGATGATTAGATGGCAGACTGACCCTCGAGAAGTGCTGGATATCGGCTTGAAGTCGGTTCGACCAGAGTTGACGAAATGTCTGGCAACTTCTGGCCAATCGTCACGCGAATCCCAGGTGATTTGACTTGGGGGGTCGACCTCTACGGGCATCACTTGTGACAGACCACCGCACTGGATGGAGACGACAGCAGCGCCAATGCCGCCGCTTCGCCTGCATCTGTCGTCTCGTCGCTGAATATCAGCGGCAACATTTGCATCGGCTCCGGTGACGTATGTCCGAGGAACGACGTGAGTTCCTTTGAGAGTAAAGCTAGATAACACAAATGAGTAAATATGCAGATACGTCAATATGACCAAGTTAGCATACCGATGGAGCGAATCGGAGGCATTCGGATGGTAGTCGAGTTCAACGATGAGAGCTTGTTGACGGACGTTTGCAGGGACGCGCTTCAGTTGGAGAGCTTGGAAAACGGCCCAATTGAGAAGCTCTTGGTGAGCGGAAGTGAATTTTCGCAGGCCCTTGATCAAGTTCTCATCGTAGTGGCCATCGGGTGGTTGTTGCTTCGCGGAAGAAAGTTGAGAAGCGGTATGGTGGCAGATCGATTTGTGGGACGCCCAGTGACGCTTTTGGCAGTCAGGTGACTAGATCGAGAATCAGTAAAACAATTGTCGGGCGGGGTGGTGAGCGAGACGTACGCAGTACTGGGTAGTCATACATCCTCCACACAATCTGAATCGAGGACCGGATGGAGATTCCACAGAGCCGCAGTCGTCGCAAAGACGATGTCCTCGTGACTTGGAGGTCGGGTTGGATGGCTGAGTGTAGTAGTTGGCAGCAGCGGGGTGCGCGTAGGAGACCATGGTTGTTGTTTGCCGGGGTTAATATGGGATGTAGGCTGGAAAGCGGAGGCGGAAGTGCGTTGGGGCCATAATGCCATTGTCTCCGTGTCTTATATAGGAGCGTTGGTGAATCCTGAGATAAGTGCAGTTCTTTCGGAGACAAAAGGTAGAGGGCACGAGCAGTGATTTGACAAAAAGGCTTTTGTTGTGCGGTGAAACATTCTGATCAGACAAGAGTAGAGAGGACCTCTCTTACTTTCAATTTACCCAAATAACAATAAAGGAGGACGACGCCCGGTTGATCGAGTGGTCAGACAAAAAGGACGGTCGCATCAGCGCGCGGCCCGCCAAAGACCGAGACAAAAGCACCAGTCAAATTCCCACACATTGACCTTCTCAGTTGAATTCTCCTCCACCCTCCAAAATACAGATTCGATACCACGCCGCCTCGAATACAACGCAAATTCATATCTTCACTTATCTATCGCGAGGACAATCGCTGGGATTTACCCCCCGAGCTTGCTCAAAGCTCACCGTCCCCAAACCCTCCGTCCCACATCTCGTTCTCATCGTTACCAGCCTCCAAATCCCTATCTGTCACAGTTTTTAAACCCCCCTTCTGGCTCATCTTTACCGCAGCATCGTGTCGAATGTTCCGACGAATCGGTCAACCTTGATTGTCGACCCTCAAACCTTGCTGTTGGTCTCTTCACACATACCATGCCCTGCCACGTCTCCAACTGTCGTAACAAGTTCTCGATGTGTCAACGCAGACGCCACCCTCTTGGGTTTAACTCGACTTGGAGCTCCAATGTTCCATTCCAAACGTGCTGGCCCTGCCTTTATGATTGTCTTCCGATCGAAGAACGAATCGGATCTGTGTTTGGAACTTTACGCCACCGCCAAAGGGCCCAGGTTGCGTGTAAGTATTATCAAAACATGCAGTAATGAGGCGCGATAAAGTTTTTGCAGCGGTGCTCGCTTATGGTCGCGACATGAGGCCTCCTGCGCGCAGGGTTCTCCTCCAACTTGCCTCAACTACCCGTACATCCGAACTGAACCTTATCTCGCAAGGTTTTCGTTGTGATCAAAACACCGTCCTGTGGAGTTATCATGCGAGACAGGCTCCGAGATGCTACCCCTGTACGGTGTGTTTGAACCCGTTGGTCGGGTTCTCTGGAGTTGCTTGTCGAAGCCGCCTTTATGCCTCTAAAGGATGACGATGTTCGCGGACCAGGTTCTTGAAACGATACCCGAGGACCGTGTTAGCCTGAGAAGTATACGACAACCGATGCGCTTTATCCAAATTCAACCACCGCACTACCCGTGACTATCCGGTCCGTTTTCCCTAAAACCATACCATCTCCTGACCTAAGGCTCGTGAAGAAACTTGTTTCTGCGTTCTCCTCGCGCCAATCCAGGATCTCCCTCGTGAAAATGCTGGATTCCAAGGAAAGCCAATTTAGTCCCAATGGCACTCCTACCTCGGAGACAGAAGAACGAACCTTGTTTTTCCACAGCTCTTCGATGCCGTTACGAAGATGGTTGACCTCATCGAGACAAGCTTGTCCAGGATCCCAAGTATGCCGGCATCATTCAACACTTCTTGTTTTCGCGCAACTTCGTCTCCGCTATTCGCCAGGTCATCGACTTCTTCTCCCTCCCTAGCCATCCCTTCCAATTCTTGGTGTACCCCGGTCAGTTTGATGTCCGTGGTGAAGAACTCCTCCGTGGGTCTGCTGGTGCAGAAGAGCTCAGGTGAATGTACGAGGTCTAAGGGAGACAGGTTTCCGGCCAACCAAATTTTCCTGATTCCTAGTTGATCGTAGGTGCCGAGCACATAGTGAAGAGTGGATCTGAGAGCCTCCGCGCATCCGAGAATAGAATCGGCCTCCGATGTTTCTACATCCCAGGTGAC